GAAGGGTAGGGCCGTAACCCCTGGAATTTCCCGATCAACCTCATATAGATCTGGATCAGAGGGTGGTCGGCGCTGAACCAGAGTGGTCAAAGCCGATTCTGCGATGGAGAGGCAATCAGCGAGCTTCTAGCCAACCTAATCGATGGATGCGATCAGATCGTCGTTGTTGATTCGCCTCCTCGGATAGCAGGGGAGTAGGCGGCGAATTGTCGGTGAAGACGACCTCGAAAGTGGTTCTGAGATCGGATCTGCAGTTGTAGGTGTTGGGGTGACCAGCGTAGTATCGGTCTACACCGGCTCAATGAGCTCTCCGACTCCATCAGCGTTGATGATCCAGGAGATCGATCCGGCGGTGAAGATCTCGCCCGAGCTATGGGAGGACAAAGAGCACGCAAAAGCGTACCATCTTGTTCGACATGGAAACAACACGTACACCCCTACGCATGCATGCCAAGCTGTCGGCGAGAATATCGTCGACAGTCCTCCGAGGGGTATCCCACGAAGGTAGATTGATCGACAGAGATGCGTGTAATTGAGAATAAGAAGGCAACAGAGACACACGAGTTAGACAGGTTCGGGCCGTCAGCACGATGTAATACCCTACTCCAGTGGTCTATTGGATTGTATTAGCTATCGTATGATATTATGTGTATTTGGAGGGGTCTCTGCCCGCCTTATATAGTCTAGGGGGTAGGGTTATAAGTCGGTTAGATCTGGGAGATAACCGGAAAGTAATAACTGATTATATGAATCATGGGATCATATGTATCCTAACAGATCTCGTAGTATCTTCAGGATATCTTCCTGGTGTCTTGCGGGACGCGCCGAGCAGCACCGTGCTCCGTAAGGCTTCGTTTTGTGGGCTGGGCTGCCCCTAGGGGCGCAACCCATGTAGTCTATCGTGGGTATCTGAGGTCATACCTCCCACAGTTAATTACACACTGTTGTATATTCAGGCAATTGATCACATAATTAATTAAATTTGCCAAGTCGAACTACATGTCAGTGAGCCGGATATCTGTACCTATTGTCTTGAGGGGTCCAAATGGTGTCATCTGCTTGGAGTTGGTGCCCAACAACACTCATGAGTTATTGTCACAAACTTACTTCTATATTGTTGTTCTGTTGATGTTCTTATTCTTTAGAAGACAAATAGTTATGCCATGTGATTTAATGTTCTCAAAGTCTTGTCTTTGGGACATACATTGTGAGAGGATAGATTAATTGTAGGACTAAATAGTTCATTCCAAGAGTTATTTATCTCCATATTGTAATATTTAGTAGAACTGTTCTTAAAATGGAAATAAAATGTAAATGCGTTTACTGAGAAAGAGGTGTAAGCTTTAGGTCACATTAAAATCATGCAGTGCATATCATCTCATGGACATTATAGTCCTGTAAATATTTCTGAGATAGGTATGTCTTTGTACTTTGATGGAATTACTTACTTGTCTTAGTATGCAAAGTGCTATGCGACTTGGTATGCACATGTTCCCAGATTGAAAGTTCTAGCTCCATATTCTGCAGAAGATGCTTGAGGTTTGCTAAAAGCAGCAACCAGGGATCTAGATCCTATTGTGTTCCTTGAAAATGAACTTTTGTATGCTATTTCTTTCTCTGTTCAAGTATACTCTCTATGTTGTTTGTTTGAGTTGACGTCTCATTAATGCATTTTTCAAGTCTATTGTCTGGTGTTGTTGTTCCCTTCCCCTTCCTGTAAAGGTCGATTATCAACTTTTTAATACTGGGATGATTGTTATATTAACACTCCATCCTATTATAAGTTTTGTTATATTAACAGTCCATCCTACTAATGGCTATGTTCTCCAACTCTTTGCAGAAAAGAAATATGATTTGGAGTTCAAGTAAACAAATAAATCAGGTGAGAACTTATGAAGCGTAAATGATATGGTTGAGATCTATAGATACCTTTCTTCAGTATATATATCCTTTGAATTATGGGTTGGCATCATCTTTTAAATTCATGGAGATTAAACGTAAGGTCGTTGATTTCTTCCCTCAATTTCCTGCGCACTAGAGTACCTTGTCTCAATGGCGGTCCTTAACAAAGATGACCGGGTGCACTAAAAATATTTAAGAACTCAGAGTTTGCCCATTCGCTCACATACATAGGCAAAATTGATATAATTATATGAAACCATTCTTCACATGTTGCTTCAAATTTATTTACCAAGTTTGCTTCAAAACTGATTTATGAATATATTTTTTTTCATGACCGTACCATTGCATGTTTTTCATTAAGAGGGAGTTTAGATAACATTTTTTCAGAGCCCCACTCCTGAACTTTATTGACTGCTTTATGAGGCTACAAAACACTTAGATTTCTAGACTTCATGTATCTACAAATGTTGTTGGGGTGAACAAACGTTGGAAGGCATGAACAAATAGTAGCACTGGAAATTTGGATTTTGTAAGCAAACGAATATGAATTTTTTTTGTGGGGAAAATGAATATGAATGTAAGCAAAATAGTCATATCTTTGGATTATTGGGGTTGCATAAACACTTTTAATATGAGCTGATCCTATTATAATTAAAGTGGTACAAAAGATAGTTTGAATTCCTACTCAACCATGTCCCCTGCGCCTGCCAGGAGTCGATCTTGTGCCCGTGCAGCGCCGTCTGAATAATGTATTGTTCGAGGTACATGCATGGGTCTCTTGTCCCCAAGATGTCTTCCAGTGAGGTCTTGTTAATTCATTTGGTTTATGAAAGCTTTGATATTAGCATTGTAGTCTAAATAGTGCCTTGTTTGATCAAGTTTGGTAGCAAACTTAATCTGTTTTTTCATTCATGAATTTCTAATTCCCTACATCATCTACTCTTTTTTCATATTAGTATGCTCTTGTACGCTAACTTTGATTTTATTTGTTACTTGTAATATTTGCATGGTTAGAAATCTCGGTTCATTAGCCTTTTACCTATCCAAAGATTTCACAAACAAAATAGTATCCCAGTTACTGAACTGCAAGTTTAGTAACCTTGAGTAGTACTTGAACTATTTGCAAGCTTAATTAATTGAAATAGTGGCTTGTTAGAAAGGAGTATTACTTGTGATAAATTGAATGGTCAAACACTCAAACCACCATGTTGTCTAACTAAAAAAGGACCGATACCTACAAGAGTCTGAATATGCAGCGCATCAGGTTAAGATTTTCTTGCAAGTTGCACTAGTTGACTGAAGAGTGTTATTGGTTTTCCTTTGGTTGGACATAAGGGTGCTATGAAACAATTGATTGCAGCATGTCTGATTACATTTGAATTGGTTGCAGGACAGCGATGGAATCATCAGGTCTGCAACGCTGGCCTCCTCGAGCTGCCATCCTACCCTCCTTACTAGCTCTGCCTTGGACGCGCTCAAGATGTTGGCAACCTTGAGGAAATTGACCAGGAAACCGCATAGGAGATGACGTCCCTCTTGGCCGGCAGCATTCACAGGCTCATGATCTTCTCGATAAGGTGGCAGTTCTTAGTGATCTCCTTCACGTCCCTATTCCCGATTAATTAGTGCTGACACAGATACTTCAAAAAATAGAGAGTCTGGTTTAAAGACTTTGCAGTGGACAATATCTATTTTGAGTGTCTTAATAGTTTTTGATGGTTTTTGTTAGGAACCTTACTAACTTTATACAAAGGTTCTGATTATATCTATGTCATCCAAGTTTTCTGTTGCAATAAGTTTTCGTTGTACTCCCTCTGGTTTGTAAATATTTGATGTTTGGAAATATTAGACAAGGTTTGAAATATCATTGGAGCCACAAGTTCGTGCTGCAATATTAGAGAGGGGAGATGGGTTAGTAGGCATGTAACTTGCCATGTGCCTCTTGTGTACGTAACTCGCCATGTGTCCCTCGTGTATGTAACTCGCAATGTGCTTGTGTGGCTGCTAGTTGGTCTCGCCTTACCGAGAACAAGTCAAACTCTTGTGTATATGTTATTTTGTTGCAACGGGACTTATGTTTCTTCATCTTACCAGTGTTTTTACATAGCCAATTGTACGTGGCGCTATCTATATCCATAGCAAGATCTAATATCATGATCTTGACAGTGTTAATTGTTGAGAAGAACATAAACAAGGGGAAGAAACTGTTAAATGATAATATTCCCAATGAATATCATCTATAAAGAGGTTCTAGCTCTATAGACAAGATAATATTGCTTGTTAATACTTCTTTCATGATAATCAAAAGTACCTTTATTAAATAGTACTGTTATTTATCGTGCGATCTGTGTGTTTTTAGTACAAAATTTTTGCTATCTCATAGCAACGCATGAGCACACTAACTAGTCATACTTAAAGTGTTAACTATTCTAGAACAAAGAGACTAAGAGAGTATATATGATCATTTCATCTTGCACGTCGTCAAACTCTACTCACCCTGTTGTGACCGGTGACCCCAACTCAAACAAGGAAGGATAAAAATAAAATAAAAATAAAAATGTTGCACGCCAATGTCTTGGGGAATATTCCACTTTCTATACACGCCGGAGCGGCATTTCTTCCTCTCCAAACCGTACGGCACGCACCGAAATTGCAGAGCCCGTAAATAAACGGAAACCCCGGCCCTTGTTCCAAAGCCGCGAACCTTCTCCTCTCCCCCAGCCCCCCTTCGGTCCTCCTCCGTCCGTCGCCGTCGTCAAACGCGACGTTTAACGGCGGCGCAGCGCGCTAATCCCGCCCATTCGCCCAACCCCGATATATAACGGCCCGCGCCTTCCGCAGACGCCAAGAACAGCCTCAGATTACTCGCACAAAGATTTAGCTTGGACTGAGACTCTTGATCGCGCGCGCACAAGGCGAGCGGACAAAAGAAGCTTGCTTCGTGTTCACCGGCGGCACGGGCCCCCTGCGATGGAAACCATCGGCGTCGCTCCTGCGCCCGTGGCGGCGCCGGAGAAGAAGAAGCTGCTTGACCTCAAGGACCCCTTCCCGCCGCCGCCAACGGCAGCGCCAAGGCGTCCCCGGCAGGGAAGTGGGCGATGAAGAAGAAGCTGGTGGGCGGCGACGCCGGCTACGTGCTCGAGGACGTGCCGCACCTCACGGATTACATGCCCCAGCTCCCGGTGCGTGCGAGAGTCCCCCATCTTCTTGGTGTCTCACGTTGGGGACAGCCGGTTTCCTGACGGTTAGTTCCCGGCGTGGACTGGAAAGTTCTTGGCTTTTTTTTTTCTTCTTTTTTGGTGTTGTCCGATTTTGGTTTCTGCCCCCTTTTTTTTTTCTTTTGGTCTATCTTAGGTTGAGAGCATGCGGATTCTAGTTTGGATTTGAGTTTTCACATATTGATCTCACACAGTAAAAAGTGTCTGGTTCCTCCGATAGAGTTTGTGGCAGAGGGGAATCAGCATCTGAAAGAAAGACACACAGCAAAATATGATATGCACTTTAATCTTCTTCTTTTTTTAGTTTTACTGTGTCGATGTTTCGAGTTACCACCAAGTAAATTTAAATTTCTAGTATTGCGTGTCTGACTTGGATGGTGTGTTTAGAGTATACGAGGTTTATAATGGTTTGGGTAGAACGTCCTATGTCCAGTTTGTCGTTCTTTTTTCGTATTCTTAATTTGAAAAAGTTTGTAGTAGGGGTTACAAACGGGCGAGAGAGGGACGGGTCCCAAGTCTCTGGTGGAAAGAATGAAAGGGTGCTAGAGCTCCGTGGCTGCTCGGCTGTGTGCTTGTGTGTTCTGATCGATCCGGGGTTCGATGGGCTTGTGACAAGATGATCTAGCTTGAATCGATCGGATCCCCCCCTCTTTATGGGACGCCCTGCTTTCCTTTTTATAGACCAAGGGAAAGCACGGGTTACAGCGGAGGAAAAGAAGAGAACGAGAGGGAGAATAAGTCCTTCAGGATCGCCGGGTCCTTCTTCTACTTCATATGGGTCCCGCCGATCCTGTAGATGTCAACAGGGACAGCTCCACGTCGCGGCCCTGTTCGTCACTGGCGCCATGCACAGGCGTCATCTGCCGGTCATAGCGTTCCATTCCGGCGCAGCGGACATCGTGATGAGCTGACGCACTTGTCAGAGTTCGTACGAGGGTTAGGCAGAACAGCATTGGTACACCCGACGCTGTTCCTGATGTGAATCCCCCGGTATGGCCCGTCACGGCCACGGGTTATATCGGGGTGTGCCGGTCCCTTCCCTGGTGTCAGAGTTTTGACCCAGGCCTATACGCTTGGACCTGGAGTGGTTGGCGGCGGTATGGGTCTCAGTCGGGCGAGACGGAACCCGCGACCTCGGGGTCGGACGAGGCGGAGCGCAAACCCAAGGGTCGAGCGAGGCGGAGCCCGCGGCCCTAGGGTCAGGCGAGGCGTGAGCGCAAATTCAAAGGGTCGGGCGAGGTGAGCCCGCGGCCTTGGGGTCGGGCGATCACGGAGACCGTGGCCTCGGTGTCCAGGCGAGGCGGAGCCCACCCTAGAGGCTCCCAGGAGGTTGGTCGAGGCGGAGCCCGCGCACCTAGGGGGGCGATTGGAGCCGTAGTCACGCTCTTGACTGCTCGGATGAATTAATGTTGATGACCATTACTCCTCCTCTTGAGATACCGTAGTATTGGTCCCCGACACACTGATTACTGATTTCATTGGTGTTGTCGATCTGCAGACATACCCGAATCCCCTCCAAGACAACCCGGCGTATTCAGTCGTCAAGTATGATTTCTTCTCCTCATTTCGTGCTTCCATTTCACTATTTCCATTCCAACTTGATTCTTATCCATCCAGACACGGATGTTCCAAAGCTGACCTTTCTCCCACCACGTGTTTCTCTCAGGCAGTATTTCGTCAACCCAGACGACACCGTCACGCAAAAGGTGAGGCTTTCTTTCCTGCGGCAAACAACGAATTGGAGACTTGGTAGTGGTCTTGCTTGGTGCTAATCCTGTGTGACATGGGACTGCCTGCAGATTGTTGTTCATAAGACCAGTGCCAGGGGCACCCACTTCCGGCGTGCTGGGCCACGGCAGCGGGTGTACTTCCAGTCTGATGAGGTGAACGCTGCCATTGTCACCTGCGGAGGGCTCTGCCCTGGGTTGAACACGGTCATCCGCGAGCTTGTTTGCGGGTTGTATGATATGTACGGCGTCACCAGCGTTGTTGGCATAGAGGTGAGGACTGAGGAGTTTCACAGTGTTCGTCTTGTGAAAACGTTTTTTATTCTTCCGCATGTGTAGGTTACAATGCTCATGACGATGCTAGCAATGTTTACTAGTTAATTTGAACAGTTTAAGATCACAATTGAACCGTTTCTCAACTGCTTATTTAATTGGATTAGTTAAGATTACAAATTATTGATAGCAAAACAATGATAAACTTTTCCTGTTGCCACCTAGCCACATTATGTTGTCTAATAGTATGAGGATAATACTTATAAAACATTTTGAGCCACCTTGTTTCATTTCTGGCCTAATTATGTATGTGTAATGTGTAGGGTGGATACAAGGGTTTCTATTCTAAAAATACTGTTCCGTTGACACCAAAGTCAGTGAACGACATCCATAAGAGAGGTGGGACTATCCTTGGAACTTCAAGAGGAGGGCATGACACTGCCAAAATTGTTGATTGTCTTCAGGACCGTGGTATTAACCAGGTTTATATTATTGGAGGTGATGGTACTCAGAAAGGTGCTTCTGTAATTTATGAGGTAATACATGCATCCAGATGATTCTATTTCTAGAAATTGTTGTTAGATGCAAATACAATGTGTGACTCGAAATTTTTGAAACATGATTTCAGGAAGTCCGTAGACGGGGGCTCAAATGTTCTGTTGTTGGTATCCCAAAGACCATTGATAACGACATTGCGGTACGTTCTGCTTTCTGCTGCTCCTGCATCTTTCAAAAGTAATAAAATGTTGTGCATACCTGATTATAGCTTGATCTTGAATTGCTTGTGCAGGTGATTGACAAGTCGTTTGGATTTGACACTGCTGTGGAGGAGGCCCAGAGGCGATCAATGCTGCTCATGTTGAGGCTGAGAGTGCAGAGAATGGCATTGGTGTTGTGAAGCTAATGGGTCGCAACAGTGGTATGTTTATCTCCCTATTCAAACTTGCTGCAACCTCTGGTGTCAATTCCTGCATATTTTGCAGCACTGTGATGATTATATAAGTAACTAATAAGCTTTTAATTCTTCTGATCTGGTGCAGGTTTTATTGCAATGTACGCTACTCTAGCTAGCCGTGATGTGGTATGCTCTTAACACACTGCTAATTCATTTTATGTTCAACATGAGAAAAAAATATTGAGTCAAATGACTGACCACTTCATTCTACTTGCTACCTCAGGATTGTTGTTTAATCCCAGAGTCACCCTTCTACCTTGAAAGGAAGGGAGGACTCCTTGAGTTCATTGAGAAAAGGCTCAAGGACAATGGTCATATGGTCATTGTGGTGGCTGAGGGTGCTGGACAGGATCTCATCGCGAAAAGTATGAATTTCATGGACACTCAAGATGCTTCGGGAAATAAGCTGCTTCTGGATGTTGGCCTTTGGTTATCCCAGAAGATAAAGGTCAGACTTGTGGTCCAAATTTTCGTTTCCTTGTCAATGTGTGGACAGAGAACATTATCTTCCCCATTTACAATTCAGTTAGCTCTATCATCATAAATGGATACTTCCCCACTAGCAGAACTTAATGTGAAACGAAGCCATCCTATATAGAATGAATTTTGTCTTCTCTTCTTCCTGTCCTTATCATTCAAATACTGAATTTGTCGCTTTTCTTTGTCATGCAGGATCATTTCAAGAAGAAGCCCAGCTTCCCGATAACTCTCAAGTACATCGACCCGACTTACATGATCCGTGCTGTCAAGTCAAATGCTTCTGACAACGTCTACTGCACTCTGTTAGCCCACAGCGCCCTCCATGGTGCCATGGCGGGGTACACCGGCTTCACCGTCGCTCCAGTCAATGGCAGACACGCCTACATCCCTTTCTATGTAAGTCCAGGGCCTTGTGTTGTGCGATTGAGCCCAGCTTCCTGAACACCCGGTTGGTTGTTCTGATGGTCTGAAACCTGGACAATCTCTTCTTGCAGAGGATCACCGAGAAGCAGAACAAGGTGGTGATCACGGACCGTATGTGGGCGAGGGTGCTGTGCTCGACGAACCAGCCGTGCTTCCTGAGCCACGAGGACGTGGAGAACATGAAGCACGACGACGACGAGCACCACCTGCACAACACGCAGCTCCTGGAAGGCGAGAGCTCGCCGGTGAAGGACGCGTCCAAATGCAATGGGGCACTGTGAAGGGCAAGAATACGCAAGGATATAGTATTAAGCATGTAACTATAGATGGGGGTTTTGCCTTTTTCTTTTTATTTTGCTTTTTGGGTGCTGGCGTTGTAGAGAGTAGCGACCACTACTATAGATAGGGTTGGATAATGTGAGCGTTTGGTAATAATATATGCTTCGCTGAAGAAAGCTCAGTTTTGGCTGTGAATGGGTTAATAGCGTTGCACCCTACGTGTATTAATTTCGTCAGGTGAGGCAATGCATATAAATCGAGCTCACCACGAGTTACGCTGGTTATGAACGGTATCTTCCACATTTTCTCGCACATCACAGACTTGAACAAACCCGTCTTCCCTCAACAAACCACAGCCAGTTCATAACTGGACGGGCGTGATTTTTCAAGGCTCATATGGGCTGACAAATTAAATATTAAGAGAAGTCTTCAGAAATGCTTAGAACATATATATAAGGCCATGTTCGCTTGAACTTATCAGTCATGGTAAAGTGTTTATCTCTCAGAACAAATTAGCAAACATTACTTTTCAGCCTGGCTTTTCAGTGATTGGCCGTATACAAGGTCACGGCCCTATCTCACAGACGCTAATCCACATTACTTGCTATCTCCGATGAGACGGTGCTACAAGATACAGTTCGGGGGATAGAAGCTTAGTTGGTAGGGCCAGAGCCATAATAAACAACAGTGGAAAGAATCGCACTCCCCTCGAATTGGGGAGAGTGGAGAAGAGGATCAGAGGAGGCAGCATTCAGCCAGTGGTGGTTCTACCCTCTGTAAACACCGGAAGGGTCGGCGTTCTGGACGATCCACGGGTGCTCAAGAACCTTGTGGAGTGGAAGCCGGTGCGCCGAGTTCTTGACCAGCATCTGTGTACAACAATTGATGGGGTTCAGGGATATGACTATCTGAATCTGAACAGCCATTTTCTTTACAAGACAAGGGAAAAACTTAAGACTTCTTACTTGAGAAATCAAATCCTTCGCAGCGGGTGAAACGAATGGTTTCAGTGGGAACTTCAAGTCAACTTTCACTATCCTGTATCCAAGTAAAAACGACAGATTCAGAAACAGCAGTTGCTCTCGAGTTTCACAACCACGAGGATAGATATTCACTATGCTATATATATATACTAATGATAGATAGAAAGAATTCATGGATCTAAAACATGTGAAGCTGTGGGGTGCTTTCTGTTTGCTACACTAGCACTGTATGCAACTTCAAAAGTTTCCTCACCAATTATCAGACATAGCTCAAAAGTTGCAAGAAATAATCTAGAACTCATATGGGCAAGTTAGGGACAATATCGCTGCATACTAAGATCCCATAGTTGCTTTCAGAAACAGCAGTTGTTTTCAAAGCCACAAAACAAGTAAAGACTCGAGTTTCACAACCACAAGGATAGATATTCAGTATGCTATTACGTATGTACTAATGATAGATAGAAAAAATCATGGATCTAAAAACATGTGGAGCTGTGGTGATCAATATAGTGCATTCTCTTTGCTACACTAGCACTATATGCAACTTCAAAAGTCTCCTCACAATTATCAGAGCATAGCTCAAAAGTCACGAGAAATAATCTAGAACTCATATGGCAAATTAGGGACAAAATTGTCGCATACTAAGATCCCAGAGTTGTGGAGTTACCTTCTGTATGTCTCTGAGTGCTCCTTAGCTTCAAAAGGTGGGACCCCGTAAAGGAACTCATAGCACAGAATACCCAGGCTCCATATGTCGACATTGTAATCATGTTCTGTCTTCTCCACTGGACAAGTCACAACAGGATTCAGAGCCAAGGAAAGCAGCTAGGCCAATAGAGAACTGGAACAGCTGTGGAATTTTCAAAAATCATTGAACTAGTTGATAACTGGAGGTAAATGGTTAGCAAAGTACCCATTTCAGGTGGCAGGTAATCCAGAGTTCCGCACATAGTCTGTCTTCTGTTGAAGGTATGCACGGACCAGCCGAAGTCAGCAATTTTGATCTCGCCCTGTTCCAAGGAAACATACAACAATGAAAGTAAGAATGGAGTTCCAGTCTTCCAGATCAGGGATACAAAAAAAACACAATTCAAGTACCTGGGCTCCAACCAAAAGATTCTCGGGTTTAATGTCCCGGTGGATAACATGCTTGCCATGAAGGTAGATCAAAGCTCTAGCCAGTGATGCGATATACTAAAAATAAAAGGAATTCTCCATTACTACTTTGTTGAAAATGAGCTGCAGATAAATTCACCAAGTACTTGTATAGAGCATCAACTTACAGTCGCTGAACGCCGCTCTGAAAAATGTTTGCACCTTGTCAGTTCCTTGTACAGTTCACCCTTGGCAGCATATTCCAGGATTAGGTAAACCCGGGTCTGAGAATTTCATATGACAGAGAAATGATGACCACTATTGGCATATAAATGAAGCAATGGCAATTCTATATTAGAAATGTGGATAGTTTTTTACCTGATCATAGAAGTACCCATACAGGCGAAGAATATTAGGGTGTCGAAGATGACTTTGAATCTCCACTTCGCGTCGCAGCTGATGCTCGACCTGTGATTGCTTGAGCTGGCTCTTGAAAAGAACTTTCAAAGCCACAATCTGACTACTCTGTTTCCACAAAAAGAAGTACTGTAAGACCTAGCTGCTCACTAGGATGATTAACTAAATCGTAAACGGAAAAACACTCTACAAGACATTTCCAGCGTTGCCATTCAACATGTTTACTGTTAGTTGCAGACTAAAAATAATCAGTGCAGTATTTCCTGGCAAATAACATTTGTTACAGTAGTATATTTTCTGTGTATACCATAATATAAAAAGTTCACTTAGTAGATACGGACATTGTACAATACTGAAGTAGTCTATTCCGGTATTCCCAACAATCACAGTACAGTAAATCATTCAGTGAAGTTATAGACTAAAAATAAGCAGTTCAACTAACCAAAAGAAAGCTTAAACATGTTATTTACCCTCTTTTCTCTGACCAGATAAACAACGCCAAACATGCACTCTGCTTACTAGGATGATTAACTAAAGCATAAACAGAAAAACACTATAAGACGTTTCCAGCGTTGTCATTCAACATGTTTATTGTTAGTTATAGTAGTATAGTTGCTGACTGTACAATAATATAAAAAGGTTCAGTTAGTAGATACGAAACAGGGTGCAAATACTGAATTCGTCAAATCCCAGCAATCTCGGTACAGTAACCATTCAGCTAAGCTAGAGACTAAAAATAATCAGTGCAATATTTCCTGATAATTAACATGAGTTACAGTAGTATATTTGCTGAGTATACCATAATATAAAAAGTTCACTTAATGGATAGGGACATTATACAGTATTGAAGTAGTCAACTCCAAGCAATCATGGTACAGTAAAGTTAGAGACAAAATAATCAGTGCAAGTAAGCTTAAACATGTTATTTACCCTCTTTTCTCTGGCAAGGTAAACGTGCCCAAACTTGCCCCTTCCAAGAGGTTTCCCAACCTCGAAGTCAGATAGCACCCACCGCTTCTCCTCGTTCGCATGGGCTGAAGCCTGCAAAATCAAAACAAAATGCATCATTATATTTCCATTACACTGCAGCCAAGCTACCAAGCTCGTAAGCACTACCACAGTACCCTGAAGCCACAAGCCATCGTTAGAAGCTTCAGGGATAACCAGACCAGGAACAGAATGTTGAGTTAAAATCCCAAGGGAATGATCTCGTAAACCCCATATGAGTTCACGGGCAAGGTACACGGGCATAATGTGTAACCAGAGAAGCAAAGGGGACGCCCAGCTTTTGCACACATAGAGGTCAAACCCTAATCAACACTCCTCAAAAGGATATTGAGAAAATGGACTGCGGCCAAGGTACCAAACTCGCAAGCACTACCACACAATACCCTGAAGCCACAAACCATCATTAGAAGCTTAATCAGCCATGAACCCTCGTTTCCCACTACCACACAGTACCCTGAAGCCACAAACCATCATTAGAAGCTTAATCAGCCATCAACCCTCGTTTCCTAAGCCTCTAAATACAGGAAAAACACTCAAATGGAGTGAAGTTCAGGAATAATAACCAGACCAGGAACAAATGGAGAGTTAAAATCCTAAGCAAAGGATCTCGTAAACCCCATACTACACTTCACTGTCGCAACGTGTAACCAACCAAGCAAAGGATATTGAGAAAACAGACTGCGCACAGCTAATAAAGCAACGATATATTAATGTCACACGCACGAAAAATAAGAAACGTCTATTTGACCCTGTCGCGTCCACAAAAAGGGGCCAAAAGAGACGGAGGAAAATCCCCCAAATTCGACAGAAGGGGGAGTAAACCCGCACCAATTTGACCACGGAGACGACTACAATCAAGCACACCAAGACTACCGGCTACCGGCAAAGCAATCGCTCGGTGAACCCCACGAATCCACCGCTACGCACGGAGGACCCAAAAAATCATCCGCTGGCGGATCCGACCAGGGGAGGGGAGAGGGAGCAGTAGTATACCCTGTCCTCGCTGCCGCGCGACTCGGTGGCGATCGCCATGCCTGGAGCCTGGAGGAGCGGGGCGGAGGGGGAGTAAGCGGGACGGGGAGCGGCGAGGCGAGGAGAAGTTTGGAATTGGGGGGCGATCTGGGATGGGGGCCTTTAAGATTTGAGCGGAGAACGCAACGGTCGAATCCTTGACAGCTCGCCTCGGCCTCGCGCAGTCGCCCCGCTGGATTGCTGGTACTGGGTGCCCGTGCCGCTCACGTGCAGGGCCGCGAGCCGTTTGGAGTCGGCGGCCTCGCCGGCGTTGAGGTGGGACTGGATCGGGCTCCCAGGCTGAGGTTGCGGTACTGAGGCCGAACTCGATGATGGGCTGCGGCGACTGAAGTATTGGGGCATTTGTGCTTGGTGGGCCGTCTCCTTAAAAAGAACACTGCTGGGCTAAGCATCTCTCCTTAAATTGTGTCATTGTCTGAAAAAAGAACTCCTACTCTGTCTCTTAATATAGCGAATATTCCTGGTCA